CGGGTGGCACGAGGCCGGCCGATCCTGACCCCCATCCTCATGCCAACCCTGACTTCGTCCCCAGTCCCGATCCCAACCCCGATCCTGATCCCGACCTCAACTTTGATCCCGATCTCAATCCTGATCCTGACCCCAATCCCAACCCCAACCCCAATCTCAATCCCGATCTCGATCCCAACCCCCAACCCCAACCGTGATCCTGATCTCAATCCCAACCCCACCAACCCCAACTCCAACCTTCATCCCAACCTCAGTCCCAGTCCTGACCCCAATCCCAACCCCAATCTCAATCCCGATCTCGATCCCAACCCCAATACCAATCCCAATCTTGATCCTGACCCAATCCCAACCCTGATCCCGATCTCGATCCCGATCCTGACCCAAATCCCAACCTCAACACCAATCTCAATCCCGATCTTGATCCCAACCCCAAACCTGACCCCAACCCCAATCTCAATCCCGATCCCGATCTTGATCCCAACCCCAACCACAACCCTGATCCCGATCTCAATCCTGATCCTGACCCAAATCCCGACCCCAACCCCAATCTCAATCCCAATCTCGATCCCAACCCCAATCCCAACCCCAATATCAATCCCGATCTTGACCCTGACCCCAACCCCAACCCTGATCCCGATCTCAATCCCGATCCTGACCCAAATCCCGACCTCAACCCCAGTCTCAATCCCAGTCTTGATCCCGACCCCAACCTTGATCCCAATTTCAATCCCAATCCTGACCCAAGTCCTGACCTCAACCCCAGTCTTGATCCTGACCCCAACCCCAACCTTGATCCCGATCTTGATCCCGATCCTGACCTAAATCCCAACCTCAACCCCAATCTCGATCCCAACCCCAATCCCAACCCCAGTCTCAATCCTGATCTTGACCCTGACCCCAACCCCAACCCTGATCCCGATCTCGATCCCGATCCTGACCTAAATCCCGACCTCAACCCCAATCTCAATCCCGATCTCGATCCCAACCCCAACCTTGATGCCGATCTCAATCCCAATCCTGACCCAAATTGCGACCTCAACCCCAATCTCAATCCCGATCTCGATCCCAACCCCAACCTTGATGCCGATCTCGATCCCGATCCTTACCCAAATCATGACCTCAACCCCAATCTCAATCCCAAACTTGATCCCGACCCCAACCCCAGTCTCAATCCTGATCTCGATCCCAACCCCAACCTTGATCCCGACCC